AAGAATGAAATTCAAAAATTTTCATCGCAGGTAATTTTTGAGAATCTGTTAAACATATCGAAATGAACCTTTGCGTTAAGTGATACAGAATCATAACTGTACACTACACACCGGTAGGTATAATTAATTATATAGCTAATGTTTATTCTTTCTGAGCAAATTTTCACTTTTTAGCAAATTACTGTATAGGGGATTAATTTCACGGGTTGTAATTTTCACGGTTTTCTCTCCTCTGACACGATCGCGGTTTGCTGAATTCGCGGAATCGGTATATAATAAAAGTTTCCTCCCTTGTCTATATCCGTTTAATCCAGAACGACATTAATCAGCGTTAAGTATTCACTTCAAAAACAACAGGGTAGGTTTGTATAAAATAGTTAGATTTAATAATTAATTGACGACTAATTAAAACAAGTGCAGTTAATAAAAGTCCCTGACTATAAACGTCGAGTAACTTTTTCATACTATTACGATGAGCGGATGTACACCCCAAGATCTTCTATCAGAAGGGATAATACATCGCGGCTAAAAACCACTGGGCGGTAAGAAATGTGTTTATGTAGGTCGAAGAAATAATATCCTTCCACATCTTTAGCAAGTTCAATAGTTATTTGAATGATTTTTTAAAAAACAAAATGTCGATAAAAACTAATACGCATGATAATGCAGGTAACAAATACACGTGGTCACATAGTTATGCACGGGTAATCAAAACCCATGACCCAAGTGTTATGATTGATGTAGCGTGGGCTATTAAAACAGCTTTATAACAAGTACGGGTTTATTATCTGCTGATCTCAATTAAAGTAAAATTGTGATAATTAAAATAATTGAATGACAAGTGCGACTCGTAATTACTGAAATGACTATGTAATACATGTATATATACCTGTCGTAGTCTATTCTCAAATTTCCAAAAATAACATAGAGGTTATTGAAAACTTATTCACTGTTTCTTGAATTCACGGATTTATTAACACCGTGAATATATCGAATATTTATACCGCGAGTTATTTTCCCCCTATACAGTATTTAAAAGAGGCGAAGAATTATCACGTATTTTTTTTTATTTAATTTATATTAATTTATAAATCTTTAACTTATTAAAAATTTTAATCCAAATGTCGTTTTATCCTATTGGGGGATAGAAAATGTTAAATGATTTCAATACACAATAGCTTTTTTTCCCAAAACATTGAAACTGATGAGTTTGCATAAAAATGTTTATGTTGCATCATTGAACTTCAAAATGTATAGAAAACTGGAGAGTACCATTATAGTCTATTTAAGGTTATCGTTTCTTTGGCATTTTTATTGCATAATCTGCATCGTATTAATTCTAGATGCAAGGTTGTGCGCATTAACCGATTAAATGGTACCTGGCAGAAAACTACAAGGTTATCTTCTTTGAATTCATATTTACTTCCTTAAAGTTCATTGCAACTGACATCATTAGCAGTTATATATACTAGAACATCTGTCCTAAGACATGAAGTTTCTTGTGATATCCACAATGAGTTTTTATCACGTGTCTCTATTTGACTATACATCAATTTTCTGTGCAATGAAACACAATTTTGTCTTCAAACAAACATGTATATTATTGGTTTATTATTAAATAATTTTGGAAACAGTAGTAATATAGGGTCCTCAAAGTAAAAATCTCCTCTAATTAGATACGGGTCATGTGGTTCTGAAACGAAATCAGGTCAATGGTCTCGTAGAGCTCGTAAGAATACATATATGGAATATAATATGACGTTAAATATAAAGACTATACAATATGGTTGGGGGACACTTTGACATGGACGAAATGTCTTTGGTAACGGACGTTCATTTGTTTAATGTATGAATGTCTAGCAGAGAGAACCAAGACACATTGCCGCCAAATAGAGAGGACAGCGAGAGGACAACTCGGGTCTTCGACTGAATAGAACCATTCACTACATTTTTATTTTGTAATTATTTATAAATATGGAAATTTAAATTCTCCTTCATTTAGTTTTTTTTAATAAATAATATATACATAAATAATTTATATTTTTTATCTGTTCGAGTAGTGCATTTTTTCTTCAATGGCGCCGTACGCCATTATGAATTTCCCATTATTCTGTATGTTCTGTGCGATCTTTTTTAAAAATATTATTGTTGGTCATTATTTTTATTCAGTACTATTTCGTTAAAACATTCCATGGGTACAAATTTGTCGTCCGGGCTTAAACGATGAAGAGGACGAAGCCCCCTTTCACCTCCCGCCATTATCTAGGAAATGTGAAAAAAAAATCTTCGTAAATGCTTTTCTGTGCACATTTGTGGATCTAACGCAGTCAACTATGCTTTACTTGCTGTCAATAATTAAATTTTAATTCATTTATTATCTACCATATCTATTAGACGCAGCAATTGAATCGTTTTGTAAACTATTAAGTACATCGCTTGATCAGGATTGACACGTGTGACAAGCAAATAAAATAATGTAATTTGAAAGGAAGGCAAAAACGGACCCCTTGGAAATATTAGAGGACTGATAAAGTAGCAAGGAATAAGCGAACGCATCTACTGAGAACCGTCTATCTTGATTAAAAAAATGGTCCGTAGACATATCAGTATGAGAACAATGTCCTTATATTTTGTACCAAAAACATCAGCCAATATTCGAAACACTTATATGTTGTTTTTGGAAATATGGTCATTGTAACGATAATTCATTTTTTCAAAATGATGTCCTTAAATGAACATCTGTACAACATTCACTTATTTGTCAGTAGTTTGCATCCGTTAAAATTGGACGTATATTTAAGGATGAATACCACAAACAAAAATTCGATGTATTGATTGATATATATTTTTGACTGATTTTGAATGGAAATAAATAATCAATACCTAAAATATAAAAAAAAAATCGTATATTTTCTTTGGTGCTTAGATAAGCAATTTTGTATTGTTTTCTACGTAATTCTATTCAAAATTTTGCACATATTTTGACATCTTGACAAAATCTTACAAAATTCTCCCACTTTACCCATAAAATATCATTCGGGTTACCTATTTGATTATTAATATATGAGAAATATTGCTGATTTCTGAGAAAAGTTCATTTGTGTTATTTATCCTTAACATGGTTTTGTGTTTTGAATCAGTTTGGAGACATACCTGTAAGCACCAATAGCAGGTACAAATGGTTATTTACCACACATAAAGGGAACATGCAGATAGGAGATCAGAAATCATTTCGTTTAGCATGACTTTTTCTTTACATTTAAACTTTTATGGATAATTTCTACTTCATAAAAACGCAAAACCATTTGAATATTCCTTGTGAATCAACCGCGCTGATGCATAAATCAATTTTCTAAAATTCTTTAAAATTCTTTCTTTATTGTATCTGTATCATTAATGTTTGATGTTTATTCTTTGACTTTCCGATATCAAACAAAATAGATATAAGATATAATATATCAATATATAATATGTTTTTTTCAAATATATTTGAGAATGGATCTCACAATTCCAGCAAAGTTCGTTTTTAAGAACCTGTTAAACATAGCTAATTGAATATTTGTGCTAAGTAATACAGAATCATAACTGCAAAGTACACACCAGCTGATAGGACGAAATACTTCAAGTGTATTCAATTATTAATAAATGTAGAATAAAGTTAGAACTATCTTTTGATCAAACTTAATGCACAAGTTTACAGAGAACAGGAAATATTTTAAAAAAGTAAAATTGCACTAGTGCAGTAGAAATTATTTTATTTCCAAGTATCAAAATATTACCTATGCTACGCTGACAATCATGGAATGGTAATAAAACTGTTATCACACAGTATATAGTGGGAAAACCTATAAATATCATGTTAAAGATCATGTTTAATAAAATTATGTTGCATTTATCAAAATAACATTGCTGACTACAAGAAAGTCATATCTTATACAAATAAAATAGAGCCTCACAAAGAATGTTTTTAAATTAAAGTCAGTAGATATAAGCACAGAACAGTAAGTTCTACAACGTCCCTTTCCATGTACCAAAATTAACATAGACCATAATTAGGTACTAATACATTTCTGTACTTATATCCTCCATTGTGTATTTTATTCTTTTATATGGCTGTCTACAATCTGGAAGCCATCATTTTGCGACCGGTAGGCCAGAGTTTTATAGTGACGTCATGCTTAAGACGTTCCGTTATAAAGCACCCGGCATAAGAAGTAAAAATCAAGCGTCTTTAGGATATGATCTTGAAATTGAAAGTCCAGTGTGAATCACGGTGGGCGTTGGCACGAAAAGGAACCCTTAGTTATGCATATGTGGCTGTAAGAGCGAGGCCTAGGTCATAATTTGTGGTACCTCACTTGAAGCCGGGACATCTCCACATTAGTGAACAATTCTCGAATGGTACGTAAAACCATATAAAACAAACAAAACAATGTATGTGCATACACAGACAAGGTTTCCAAATGATAACGTAGTGAAAGCAAATACCAGTCAAGTATTTATGCCTTATTTTAATACTGCAATATTCTCATTTAAATTCATTTTTTTCTGCAATTGTGCATCCGGAATGTGTTCTCCTGCATCATCTTGTCAAAATAAATGAGAATGAACATATGATAAGCAAGGTCTTTTGCATGCAATTTGGTTTGTCATTAACATATGTTTGGATTGCAAGACTGACTAGGAGCAAGTATATAAAGAGAAACGTCCCTCCTGATTTTAAAGTTTCCCAACAAATTTTAAGGTAAGAACTAAACAGATCTTTCGTCTACTTTTAAATGTTAGTCTGTATGTTTTTGTCTTATAATTGCTTAAAGTTAAGCTGTATAGAGAACAAAACAATGTTTGATTTAAAAGAAAACGACGTTCAGAATGTGGGATATAATATATAATGTTAGTATATAAATCAAATGATGTATCGCAATTATATGTTTCAGATTTATTGCACATCCCAAAGAGTAGAATGAACTTCATTTACCTGTGCTTACTTCTTATTCTGGTCATCCTGACAATCTATGTGATGGGATCTTTTGCTATTCCTGGGAGGTGGCATAGAAGATGGTCTCATTCAAGCAGCGGTAGCGGATCTAGCAGCCACAGTGGATGATATGAAGAGGTAAGTTTGCTATTCATTATCAAATAATTTAATTCTGGTTGTAACGAGCCATTTGATTGGATAGAAAAATTCGTTTATATCGTATAACCTCTGTTGCCTACGTCACTATGACTTACGTTAGAAACGTAACAGTCAGCTTGACGTTAGATTTAAAATCTGAAGAATTTGAAAGCCTTTTTGAAGAGTTTATAAAGCGTAAACAACCCCAACCCAGGTCATACAGTATAACTTGGGTTGTTATTAAGTTCATTCCTTAATTAATATGACAGATATATCTTTCGGTTTTAAGAAAAATCCATCATTTTTTCATTGAATCATTATTATTTTGATGAAGAGAAACAGTGGTCTTAGACTTACTTTTATGGCATATTTTACTTTCTGAGATTTATAACACAATAGTGCTGTAATTATTTCTTCTTACTTTTCAGATATGGGATCGGAAAACGAAAAAAGAAATAAATACTGATTTTTTTCCGAAAAGTTGTGATGCACGAATTTTGATATTTTCCTTTGTTCGATTGATTTACTAATTCCAGAAAATAAAGAATGATCCTTTATTTTCCTATTGATATTTTTCTGCATTTGGATATCTGAGTCAAGCAGTGTTAAGTGGTATAATATGCAGAATGTTTGTGAGGTTTTTTTCCCCATTCTTTTGTTTATAGGATAATTACAAGCTGTGGATATCACTGGAGAGATAATTGAAAAAGAAGGCTTAGCAATTCACCAACAAATATGTTTATATGCAGTATCTAGCACATATGTATGTTTTGCACTGAAAAGTGTGGAATGATATAACAGTTTTATTTAATAGAAGTGCCACTAAATCTGAGAAGAAATGTTTGATTTCAGTTAACACATACCGAAGTTACTTATTTGATAACACTTCTTAAATGAAAAGAAATACAAGATCTTCAAAAAAGCTGTTCGATGTACAGTTTAAAATATTTGTAATATTTATGAAGTATTTTCTCAAGATGGCCAATTCAGATTTATTTCTCGTCTACAATAGTACTTCCTATACTTTTGGTGTTCTTTTGCGTAAATGATTAAGATGTTATAAATATTGCAATAATAAAATAAATAACACATTGAAATCCATCTTATGTTAAACCTTGTTGGACTGAAAAGTATAATTTATGAACTTCATCATACACAGAACAGTTTCACCATTTACTCCACATCAGATCAAGAGTGTTTTGTCTATGTTGGTAAAATTTACAAATTCCCAAATCGTTTATCGTGTTATCTTTGGAGTGTTCTGAATAATATTTTTTTTTTCCCGTCGATAGATAAGTAATGTCACTGCCAATTAAATGTTGATGCTAAATTAAATCCCCCCCAAAAAATACAAATTTTAAATCAAATTTCTTTTGCAAAAATCAATAGTACTCGTATCAAAACTCATGACTTTTCTACACTTTATACAACGTTACCATTCCCCATGATATATTTTAAAACACCAACCGTTTTGTCACAGACATCAGGTTCTTCCAGAAAAATTGAACTCGCTTATTTTTCATCTACATAGCTACTGTGTTAAAATTTGATAATATACAGATGTTTGATTCCTCACTGACAGTTTCTATGTAGTTTTTGGAAATCAGGTCTTCCAATCTACTGGGATTCCAATTGCTACTGTTTCTGGGAATCAGTAACCTGTTTGTACATCCCTATGAAGCAGAAATTATTCAACATCTTCTACGCCAAAAGTAGAGATCTCTTTTTTGGCCCTAAGTTCGACATTTAAATGTCTCGAAGATATTTTATCTTAACAATATTCATGTATTGCAAAAGTTGATTCAATATATCTAATTGAATGCGACATAAATTTAGTTGCAGTTTAAGAAGAGAAAGACACTAAAAATGAACTTTATGATAAATGTGATGACTTTACCTTTCCGTTAAATATTCTAGTCTTAGGGTTATTATTTGCTTTTTGCATGAGTCATTTGCATCCATCATCCTCTTTTGGGCTCACTAATGTGGTGAAATGCCGACTTTGAAAACCAGACGGAAGAATTTTGTTTCTCTTACATACACAATTAGAATTACTCATCACATGTTGCACTTCGAAAATATATTTCGTGGTGTTCTTATAATTCGCGTTAAAGTGCAGAATTATATTTCTGAATGAAGGCGTCTATAAAATACGAGGGCTCAATATTTAAGGTCTTCCGTCTCCAACGGAAGACCTTCTACTGATTGTGATGATTAAGATTATTCTTTTTTTTTTCCTAGACGCCAACTTTGACGCTTCATATCTTCCTCATTTTTAAACAGATTTTGTTCAAATTTTCAGAGCTTTTTGACTTTACAAAACACTGTCAGAATACCGTAATACAATTCGGAAATTACCTTCTGTTCACGAGTTTTTCCCCTTTGATTGAATTTTGCATGCCTCCGATTTCCAGACAAAGGCTCAGAAATGGTTATAATTGGAGCACAAAACCCTTTGAAATTGAAAAGAGGAAGCATTGAAGTTGTGCACATCGGTTTTTGTTTTTTGATTTTTGCATTAAAAATGGCGCTAGAGAGGGGTCAAAAGTTAGAACGCGGAAAACAGCAAAAAATTTGACATATTTTCCTTTATATCTTGAAAACTAGAAATATTTTGTTAAGACATGTAGAACAAAAGTTGTGCATAATTGCAAGGGCTTTCATATTATACTATTTAAAAGGGGCTGGCCCCTATGATTAGGGATCTTGGGCCCTTAAAAGTTTTTGCTTTATAACTCAAAAACGGTAAATATTTCGATCTGGATCTTGGGAACAAAATTGTTCTTTTACACCTTTTTGATCTAATGAAAATGTTGTTTTGTTCGAGTATACCATGGGTATTGCGTAATACGTATTAGAAAGCAGGCCAGGTAAACAGGTAACGTTTTTCATTCGGCAAGGAAATCAGACCTCTTCATGTGTATAACTTAAACAGACTTGCTATCAATAATATACCCTGCGCTATTTAATGTTAATTTTCTTTTTAATAAGGTTTAAAACGTGGTTTATGGTTCACTATTAAATTATTTATTACAACTAGTCTTTCTTTTCTTCTTTTTTAAATTAGGTTAATAGTGTTCAAAAGCGGAGAATATTAAATCTATCTTTCTACGTTTATTATTACAACAAACTTTGTAAGTGATTTTAAACTGTATGCATTGAATAATTCACGATCATTAGCTGTATGCATATTACGGTCTCCATGTTCAGCTCGATGTTTAGTTATGTAACCCAACGCGCGAATCCCACCTTGTTGATCGAGGTCACCAGTGTACTAGCCACCTGTGGCCATAAACAAATCTAGTATTTGTGATCGCGTATAATGTCAATTTTGTACAGAGCTATTAATTAATGGAAAGTTATGTTTTTAATTATATCGAATCAGTAAGATTACTTTACCGATCTTTTATAATCTTAATTCCAAACACTGGTGCATAAAAATCATTTTGAATTTTAATCGCTGTTTTTTTCTGTTCACGCAACAATACATTTAAAAAAAGTATTGCTCTATCCCGTGTCGTTGTATTTTAATTCATCTGCAATTGTAATTGAATTGGGGCTTCGGTAAATAATTGTAATTACTACGCATGCTACGCACATATTATTTTTACCATCACTCTCTTGTGAATGTCCATTTATTATTTATAGAATTAAATAAACATTAGCTAAACATAAATAAAAATTCCTTCAAATATACATGTACTATAATTCAAGTCTTTGTAATATAGCAAACAGTTTCATCCATCTCTGCCGCTTTGTGTCTTTAAGTGTTGTAGTCCAGTCCTCGTTTACATACACGTGGCCACAGAGAGCCGCGGGCACCTCGATGTTGAAATACATTGTGTACTCTGATAGTTGCTCTACACCGCACAAACAACTAACTTTTACATGCAGTGTAGTAATTGGCAAAGATTGTTTGAAAAATATAAACTCGCATGTGTTCGCTACGAAGCATTCATTTTAAAATTTTATTTACATGTAGATACCTTATAAGAACAAAATAAAGTAAATGTATAACACCTAGAACAATGTTTAAAAATTAAAATACAAATATCGTGTGCTCGGAAGGGAAGATGGCTTGAAAGGGTGTGTCTGTGAATGCTTAGATCTAGCAACACACTTCGCAAAGTTAAGCATACTTGTGTCCAAATCCTTTAAAAGTGGAGGCAATCCCCAATCCTCGCACCCTTCCTTTTTGAATCTAAAAATATATACCATACTGAGAGTTGTATATAGAGCGGGAATGTTATTTTATTAGTCCTTAAAGGCACAACTTAAGAAATGACTTATGAATTTTTTTAGATAAGATTGTTTCGCTGTGATAAATCTTAGGAACTTCTAAACTTATAACTTAGGAAACGTTTTTGAAACAGGCATTTCAAGCATTCAGTCAGATCTATTACGACGTCCATATTACCATATAAGAGAATGAAATTTTGTTTTGTATATAAAGTGGTTATTACAAATATGCGTGTTACAAAAATGTATGTTGAAATCTTCAAAAGCTATCGAATTATTTGCATACGTGTACTCGTACATATGAACATTGATCAACACTGATCAAGTGTATACCGGGACCCGGGATAGTCTTATTATAGCTCTTGCTTTGTCAAATCATTACTTTCATACCCCTTGCATTTAAGAAAAACAATGTTATAAAAAAATAATAATCTGACATATAACAAGTATACATGTAGCGTGTGCAATTTATTTGGCTAGGGGCATGTACACACGTGGTTCGAAACTGTAGGGGGCTACAAATGCGGCCATAGTTAGTATATTTTTGAGGTGTTATAAAAAACAAATAATACTCACAAAAGCTTATAAAATTGCCGTTCTATCGATACCTTATATGCCATGTTTCATCCACCAACAACGCCACGACATCGATGAGAAATACGTTTCTACACTGGCATTTTCTTCGAAAAGGATAGGAAGTTAATGAATTAAAATAATTAATTCTTTTAGTTAACGCATTATGTTTACCTCTTTATTTGTTGTATGCAATAAGTATAGACCTTACTAGACCTTACTAATAATGACTGTTTGGTTGTCACATCTGTGCATGTGTCGTGCGAGGTACAGCGGTAAGGTAAATTACCGAGAGTCGCGATGTGCGGGGTGATTCGGAATACCCTGAATGACTGTGGTCCATTGAATTTCTACTAGTAAATCAACCTGTCAAATCTAACATGGACCCACATAATACGACTAAATTCGTTTCATGAATGAACTGGTTCTTAACAAATATATGTACAGTATACAATATCTTTTCTTTAGATCTGTTTGTTTATTATTTTCAACCACAATCTGCAGTACATGTATAGTTACACGAAATTCATGCACAACGGCGCTACACCACTCGATATTGTGAACTCAGTCTGGTGTTACGGCAGCATTTCCGAAGTGATTCAAAATATTCTATCGGCTAATTCTAATTTTTCGCGTTGAATAATAATATTTTGGAACAAAGTTGGAATTAAGGCTGGAGCTGCATGCTGTGAATTTATCACACCTGCAGTCTGCAGTCTTCCCTTCTTACATGTATACGAAGCAT